CTGTAATTACCAAGGGCCACCCGTGGCTTCTTGGACGGACATTAAAATTTTAATGCGCACTAGATTCGTTCCTTCCTATTATAGGAGGGAACTCCTGTTGAAGCTCCAACGGTTTCACCAGGGAAACATGTGTGTGAATGACTATTTTAAGACGCTAGAATATTTACTGCTTAGGGCTGGTATGCATAATGAAACCAATGAGTCTAAGAGACATCCAAGACTTAGTAGAATTGTATGAATACTTCTCTATTGAAAATGTTTTACACCTTGCCTTAAAAATTGAAGCTCAATTGAAAAGAAAGGATGAGGCAAGAATGAGTTATTCAAATAATGACTACTATAGTTCTTATTGGCAAGAGTACTGAAAAACATGATAATAACCCTTCCAAGTCACTCCAAGAGCCACCCCTAAGGGCAACACGTCTAGGAACCCCATTCCTAACGTTGTCGCTCCTCAAAGGTATAGTTCAATTAAATGTTTTAAATGCTTAGGGTATGGGCACATTGCTTCTAATTGTCCTACCAAAAGAACTATGATTTTGAGCACAAGCGGAGACATCGAAAGTGAGAATTTTCTCCCCCCTCCCCATCTAGGGAGAATTCCTCTGAGCACTCTTTCTCGAGTGATGAAGAGATCAAGCCTTGTGAAGGCGATTTGTTAATAGTGAGGTGGATGATGGTTCAAGTCCAAAAGGACCTTGAAAATTCCCAAAGAGAAAACATTTTTTATACTCGTTGCCTCATGAATAACAAGTTGTGTTCACTAATCATTGATGGAGGAAATTGTGTGAATGTTGCTAGCACGAGGGTACTATACAAGCTTGGTTTGCCCACTACTCCTCATACCAAGTCATACAAGCTTTCCTGGCTTAGTGAGAAAGGTGAGATAGAGGTCAATAAACAAGTCCTCATTAGCTTTGCGATTGGGAACTATAAGGATGACGTTCTTTGTGATGTTGTGTCAATGAAAATGTCCCATATTTTACTTGGTAGGTCGTGGAAATTTGATAAAAAAACCTTTCATGATGGCTATACCAACAAGTTTTCTTTTAACTTCCAAGGGCGCAAGATCACTTTGAAACCCCTTTCCCCTCAAGAAGTTAGTAAGGACAAAGAAAAAATGCAAAAAAAAGAGAAAAGAATAAAAAGAAAAAAAGAGAAAAAAGAAAGAGAAGGGGTCCACCTCCAAAGCGAAGGACATAATGATCTCTCACAAGGGGATTAAGAAGGTACTTTTAGCTCATAAACCACTACTATTAACATATCCTCCTCTAGGTTCTTCCCCTGCATTTCAAGAACAATCTTCAAGTTTGTCCAAGAATCTAGAGTTAGTAGATGAATTTTAGGATATTTTTCAAGAACCTCTTGAGGGGCTTCCACCTCTAAAAGGGATCGAACATCAAATAGACTTCCTACTGGGTTCATCCATTCCTAATCAGTCGGCTTATAGGGCAAACCTATAAGAGTCTAGAGTGATCCAAAGATAAGTCGAGAAATTAAAAGATAAGGGTTGGATCCAAGATAGCATGAGTCTCTGTGCAATGTTGGTAATTCTCGCCCCAAAAAGGATAGGAGTTGGCGAATGTGCACGAATTGTAGGGCAATTAATAATATAACTGTTAAGTATAGGCACCCAATCTCGAGGCTGGATAACTTGCTAAATGAGTTACATGGAGCTTTTGTGTTTTCCAAAATTGATCTGAAGAGTAGATATAATCAAATTAGAATCAAAGGAGATGAATGAAAAAAAACAAAAAAGTGCAAAAAAAGAGAGAGAGAGAGAAGAAAAAAAAGAAAGACAAGGGGATTAATAAGATTTTTCAAATTCGTGGACGAATTCTCTCTAAGGAGGGGAGGATGATGAGTCTCTAGTGCGGGAAAGGTCATCCCTAGGAGGATTACTAAGAGGATTACTAGAAGCATGACTAGAAGGGAGACCTCCTCCTCACTCTTCATTTTTAATTTACTTAGTATTTTTCTTTCCTATATTTTTTACTTACTTTCGCTTTCCTTTTGTAGGATCACTTTTTACACCTCCTTTTTGAAGAATGTCACCTCTTGGATATATAGGATACATGTGTGGATAGCCCAAAGGTGTAGGACACTTATTTTTCATGTCATACACTCCTTTTTAGAGGAAGAAGCTTGGCTTGTGGGTTTGATTGGCTTTGGACAGTCCATAGAGGATCTCACCTCCTTTTTCATGTTCTCCACACCTTTAGAGACATTTTTTGTGGGCTAGCACGAATCTAACATACTTAGGTCATAGAGACTCTTAGCTTTTAGGATTAGGTTAAGTTTATGTCTCCTTTTGTAATTCCATCTAAGTCCCTCCCTCAAAAGCCTATAAATAAAAGGTTTCCCCTCATGTAATTAGGTTGAACATTCATTACAAGTCTGTAAGGTTTCTTATAGTGTTTCATCACTTTGAGTGTCTTATCTTAAACTTTGGTTCAAGTGGCGACAATCACCACTTATTTAGAGTGGTTCATCCCCTAGTGGCGTGTCAGCACTCCATCACTACCATACTTCTCTTATCTTCATTTTTACTTCTTTATTTCTTCACTCTATTTATTTATCCAAGGGACTGGTCCATTTTTCCAGCCCTTGTCTTTATTCTTTTATAGTTTTATTCCATCTCTCCCTCATTCCACAATCCTTGGAAATGAATCTTCACATCTAGATAGACAACTATCGTAATGTCTAGTGAAAATTTTTTCTTAAGTTTGCTTACTTTATTCCTTAAAATTGTGCACCTTACTTTATTTTACATCAAGAAAACTTTTAAATGCAATTGAATTGAAACATATAAACATTAAAGTTGAATTGAAATATAGAAAATTGAAATATGAGAAAAAAAGAACTAAATTCAGGAATGAAGAAATGGAATTGAAACATCAACTTACAAATCTAAATGCATATGAAATGGAATATCATTATATTTAATGAAACATCAATCCAAATTCGACCCAAACACTCTCCATTTGCACAAAGGTAGGGAAGATGAATGGACAAAAACAAAAATAGAAGAGAAAAAAACAAAAATAGAAGAGAAAAAAACAAAAAAAGAAGAGAGAATCCAAGGAGACAAAAGTTCACTAATTGCATAATGAAAATGAAAATGTTTAAAGCATGAAAAAGTTATGTCTCTTCAATTCTTAAAGTTTTTATATAATGCTTTGAAAGATGGAAATGAATGGGTTTAAGTTTGAATCGAAATGGGCCTTACAATTCCAATTACAAGATGTTATACCGTACCCAAAAAATCAATATTTCAATCTAAACTTCTAAAAATTATAAATAATATCTTTGAAATCTAAATGACACATTCAACTTATGAACATTGAAACCTAAAAATAAGGAATAAAATGAAATAAGAATTAGTCAAAAAAGATATTTATAGAAAAAGTTGTGACTAAAAAAAGTAGATAGAGGTTAAATCAGAAAAATACGAAATTAAAGCATTTATTCAAAAAAGTACAATTTATTACAAATGATAAAAAAGATAAGAAAATAAAAAAAATATAGAAAACTACTTAAAATGTACAATAAAAGTCTTTGAATATAAAATATGTAGTACCAACTGGATAATCCCTTCCTGAAATATATCAACAACAAGATCTTCAATCTCCTCTTGACTATGAGAATCAAGATATAGCTTTACCTTCACTAGAATAGATCTTCTATTAAAGGAATAGAATGATCATGAGTTTAGAAAACTGAAACATATGTCTCTAGCAATAAGAGAAGTTTTGGTTCTATGTAAGCTGGTAGTTATAGCAAGAGAAAATATTGTACATTAGAATTCACCATTTCATAATATAGACCTTTACAATGGAATTAGTGTTAATTAACCATTCAACAAATATGATACAAATGAGCTTGCGCCAAAACATGATCAACATTCCCTTTTAATATTATAAATTTACCATTATTCAAGAATTTTAAACTTAAGGATTTATACTTTGCCACATGATGATTGATAGTTTTCAACCAAGCTCCCAAAATAAGATGTGCACCTGAAATTGAAAGTAATTATACAAGCATTTTAAACAAATTCTCATGAGCCAGTTTGAACTGAAAAAGACGTTGAAGCGTTTAAAACCAAGGCACGACATCTTTTTTAAAATAGATTGCAACAATCTTCACTCTCTCAACATTAGGCGCATGGTGATAGTTAAAAAATTTGTATGCCTTAGAGAATCATTCTAATATTGAAGATTATCCATCAAAATGGGAAATCTCGTCCTTAATTGGTATTACAATGTGTAGCTAATTTGCCCTCAAGGAGGCACCATGAAACTAATATTGAGATTGCACTAATAAATCTAAGGATAGTTGGAACTGATCCATACAAAGTTTAGCTTCAGTCTGCACTTGTTGAGTATGAAACTGTTATTCACGATCACAAAATTTCAAGAGAACAATAAATTTGCGAATTTCATCAGAATGACTACTTATTTAAGCCTGTAAATCTTTCAAATGTGTGTTCTCATCCATGACATCAATGAAAGCCCCAGTATAACAAATGTAATTTCATACTAAGAGGAACAAAAGAACTTTCATAGAGAAGCATCCCACGTGCAAAAGAAACCTTAAAGTACAACTAACTTTCTCTCCGCATCATTCTTAATATTTCTTACTCTCTCATTTTTCATACACTTACACATGGTCATACCAATATATATAATAAAAAACAGATCTTGGCAAGGGAAAGCCTGTGCAACTTAGTACACATGTTAGTTTGTTCTTTAATTTTAAATTTTATTTCCTTGGTTTTAGACGTTAGATGCATGTGATTTACTCTGTGTAACCATCTTTCATGTGACTTGTGGTTTTCTTTGCCAAAAAAAATTACATATGATTTACAATTTCACTTAATAGATAACGTTCTATTTTCATTACTTATGAAGAAAAACAAGAAAAATGGAAAAAAAAGATAGATAGAATGTAAGTATAACATTTTCCTGTAACTAAAAGTTGGGTATCCCTTATTATTTATGACTTACTATATCAAGCACCCACAACTGCTACAGATTGCTTTCCACATCACCTGGTCCATATGGAGCATGAGAAACTCCATCAGGATCTCTAACTCTACCATCACCCTGGAACAAGCCATTAAAAGAATCATAACTGATGTTATGCTCTTTGGAAAGATTGCCAAGGGGACTGGCACTGTTTCTATGGACACCTTTCAAATTTTGAAAAATTTATTTGCTACAATTACTCCTTCTGCACCCACCAGAACGGCTTCAGTTATTTGGCTTCCTCCTTTTACAAACTGGATAAATGAAACAGAGAGAGTGAAGGTAGATTCCTTGGTGGCTTTTTGATTAACATTGGTATTGTTAGAGTCGGCTTTTGACTGACCCTAGATCACCATTTTCTTGTAATGTACTCTGATAGAAGAATTTCTTGAAAAGTTGCAAGTGCTCGGCTTGAAAGTGCATGGAGACAATAACGGTTTCATCACCATGTGGACCAAGAAGAATCACTGCCCTGTCTTGTGGAAACACATATGCCAACCCAAAATACACAGGCTTTCCCCACCCAAAATCTGCTTCATACACTGGCATGCTCATCCAGCTTGTCATTTGAAGGTTCGGGTTCCCTGCGAAAGCCGAATTCCTACGCTCTCCTTGTCCCGAGAAAAAAGCCCTTATGCAATCCAATTGCTCCTCACCTAACGCAATCTCCAATTGTGACCTTATGTATTCATTTGTAAGCTTTTCAATTCCTTCTCTTACTTTCTGTGCAGCATAGCTCAATGGCTTTGATATAATTTCTCCAACATAACATTTGGGTGTCACTGTTGCTGCCAAAGCATTCCCAAAGTAATTCCTAGGCAGAGGAGGAATTATTCTGCTGCGGATACTAGCGTTGAAACGAACTAGGGTTGGTTGCTTCTCTTCAAGTTCACGAGCCTTAGATGCACATCTCCATATATGAGCAGCAATAGCTTCAAATCTGCTATAAGGTCTTACCCCTTCTCTCAAGGGTGTTTCATTGGCCTCCTTCTTCAGATTTTCCACTTGTTGTGGGGTTAGCTTCAGTAACACAGCACTTGTCTTCTTGCTTTGCTCAGCATTGATGTCAGAGGATCCGAGTTTAAGTGGTAGAGACTTCAACTCGGGGTGATCAAAGCATGGTGATGTTGAAGGAGAGTGTTGAAGTTTGAGGATTGTTCTATCCAGATATGGCAATTCATGTGGCTCTAGTGTCTCTCCGCGACCCAGCTTTGCCCATGAATTCATGAATTGAAAGTAACCAAGCGCATCAGACAAAGGGTGACTGAAAGCCACTCCAATAACAAATCCTTGACCACCATGGAATCTTGTCAATTGCACAAACAACAAAGGAATTTCTTCTATGGATTGAGTGTAATCAATTTTTGGAATAAGTTCCTTGACATACTCAGAAGGTGAAAAGTCATAATTAGCAAATGATGTTGTGGTTTGAGCTTCAAGCAATGTCACTCCCTTTGCATTGCAATCCACTTCAATTCGACCACTTTCTGCTAAGCTCAATCTGCCAGCTACTGGATAGTAGTGCACTAAAATCTCACCAAGTGAGTTCCTCAACCTCTCAATGGTCTCATCGTTGTGTTTTGCTTCGTAAACATAGATATTGGGTGTGTGACCTGAACGCCCGACTTGGTCACTATCTGATAACCATAAACGACCCTTGGGAGTTTCTTGATTTGGAAAGATCCTGTGAGAAGCAACAATGGTTACCATTTGGAGAGAGAGAGAGAGAGGGTTTTCCAATAAGTTTTCGTAGTATTTGGCAACAAATGATGGAACCCAAACTCCTCTGGAAGAATTATGTGTCAATCAATCACACCTCCTAAACAATTGAACAATTCACATTCCTACGCGTTTAAAACTCTTTAAGTTTAAAACTCTTTAAGGCGAGGAAACACTACTACAAAAAATCATTTTAGCTAGGGAAAAAAATCGATAGTTAATGTCAAAAAATCGTTCGTTAATAAGTTAGCGATCGAAATTACCAATCGAAAGGTGTCGTCGCAAAAAATCAAGTCACTAATGTGTTAGCGACCAAATTTCATTTCAGTAGTAAAATAACGACCAATTTTATTTCGATAAGAAAATAACGACAGAAATTAATATATTAAATTGGTCGCTAAATCGGTGGCAAAGGTAAAAAAATAGCGACCGATTTAAATCGATCGCTAAATCAATGACAAAGTTAATTATTTTTATTTATATCTCTATTTATCTAGAAACTCTCCTACCTCCTTTTAAAGGATATTTAGAAATTTGATTTATTACTAGATTATTGTCATTGTAAGGATTCGAATCCGAGTAACACAAAGTTGAAGGTTGAAACTCCAACCACTAAGCTACTAGGTTTTTCAACAATTACTTACAAATAAATTGTATTTATATATTTATATATTTATATATTTATATATTTATATATTTATATATTTATATATTTTTATATTTATATATTTATATATTTATATATTTATATATTTATATATTTATATATTTATATATTTATATTGATATATTTATTTATATCTTTATACATTTATATATTTATATCTTTACATATATTTATATCTTTATATCTTTACATATATTTATATACATAAATATAAAATCTATAAATAAAAAATATATTTACATATTTTAATATATATTTAAATATTTAAATATTTATGTATTTATATATTTATATATTTATACATTTGTCTATTTATACATTTATATATTTATACATTTATATATTTATACATTTATATATTTATACATTTATATATTTATATATTGATATATTTATATATTTATATATTGATATATTTATATATTTATATATTGATATATTGATATATTGATATATTTATATATTTATATATTTATATATATCTTTATACATTTATATATTTATGAAAAAATTAAAAATTAAAATATTAAATTTTAAAGTAACATTATATTTTTAAAAATAAATATTAGAAAAAAGTTTAAAAATATATATAAATTATATTTACATGTACAAAATATTAAAGATATATATTTATATCTTTACATATTTATATATTTATATCTTTAAATCTTTACATATATTTATATTTTTATATATTTATATCATTATATATTTACATGTACAAAATATTAAAGATATATATTTATATCTTTACATATTTATATATTTATATCTTTATATATTTATATTTTTATATCTTTACATATATTTATATCTTTATATACTTATATCTTTATATTTCTACATATATTTATATCTTTACATATTTATATATTTATATCTTTATATATTTGTATATAAAGATATAAAGATATTAGTTTTGTAAACAAATAATATTATAGTATAGTATATTGTACTATTAGTATAGTATACAAATTATATATTAGTATAATATAGTATACAAATTATTAGTTTTGTATATTTATATATTTTAATATTCATATATTTTATATATTTTAATATTAGTATAATATAGTATACAAATTATTAGTTTTATATATTTTAATATTCATATATTTATATATTTATATATTTATATATTGACATATTTATATATTTATATATTTATTTATATCTTTATACATTTATATATTTATATCTTTACATCTTTACATATATTTATATCTTTATATCTTTACATATATTTATATCTTTATATCTTTATATATTTATATCTTTATATCTTTATATATTTATATCTTTATATATATATATATATATATATATATATATTTATAAAATATATTTAAATATTGATATTTTTATATATTTACATATTTATATATTTATATATTTATGTATTTACATATTTATGTATTTACATATTTATATATTTACATATTTATATATTTACATATTTACATATTATATATTTATATATTTATGTATTTACATATTTATATATTTATGTATTTACATATTTATATATTTACATATTTATATATTTATATATTTATATATTTATATATTTATATATTTATATATTTATTTATATCTTTATATATTTATATCTTTATATATTTATACATTTATATATTTATGTATCATAGTATATGAGGGGATAATAAATTTATACATTTATACTAATAATGTATCATAGTATATGAGGGGATAATAAATTTAATTCAATTACTTATATATATATATATATATATATATATATATATATATATATCCATTTTTAACTTTTTTTTATTTTTAAACTTCTCACATTCTACATTGTTTTTAAACTCTATCATTTTTACTATATTATCATCCTCATTTCCTCCCATATTCTATTTTATCTTTATAATAATTAGGAAAAAAACAATTAATCCAAAAATATAATAATGATAAAAATATTATAAAAAAGAGTTCAAAAATGTATTTAATATTTTCAGTTTTAGTTTAATTATATTTTTAACTCTCAAAGTAGAAAAATATATTGTAATTATTTTAATTTAATAAAATATAATTTAAATTTTTAATAATAAAATTAAAATATTAAATAATAATAAATTTAATTCTTTAAATTTAGTATTTAAAAACTAAAATTATAGTTTCTCTGTTTTAAAAGATTAAAATAAATATTTTGAAAATAAAAATAAAAATTAGTATTATCTTAAATTTATTAAAAATATAATTAAATCTCTATTTTCTTATGCAATTTTAGAAATTTTTTAATAAAAATCCAATATATAAAAAAAGTTGAAATTTTAAAAAGGTACAACGTTAATTTATATTAACTATTTTTTTGAAAAACTGACAAAAAAAACTTGGCTTTGAAAAAAAAGTTAATAATTTTGAAGTTATTTAAGTGATGAAGTTTCCAAATGTTATTTATAAATTTATTGAGCAAAATTGGAGGTATGTTGAATATAAATTTAAATATATTTTTAATTTATTTAAATATGGTTTATTTTTAGTATTTATAAAATAGATTAATTTTAAATTTTTAACTTTTCTAACTGATCTATTTTTAATCTTTGTTATTAATTATGTTAAAAATGAAAAATATTAATTAGTATACTTAAACTAAAAAATATTTTAACTAAAGATAAATATATTTTTATTAATAATTTAATTAAATAATAATAAAAGTATATTTATTATCTAATGTATATTGATATAAATTTTTTTGGTATATCAATTATATGATGTAACGACCCTAGAAATCGCTACTATAATGATGTCTTCGCAAAATAGTAAATAAGTAAATAACAACATCTATTTTACCTTATATTACTGTAATTATAACATATATTGAAATTTCAGTTTACTAAAGGAACTTCAAAATATAGTAACATAATTTATTTATATATTATACATGTAAAAGTAGCTCCCTCGAAGCTATCCCACTGAACTATCTCTACTGTCCAGTAGTCACATCACCATCTCTCAACTCCTGATCTGCTCCCACATAAAAGTGATCATCGCAGTCCCATCCACATGGAAAAATAGAGGTAAGTATTAAATCATTCGATATAATAAAACAGATATAAAAGTAATAATTATATATTATGATCAATTACGAAATTATCAACACACTAAGACACCTTCTGGAAGTATACCCTAACTATGCCCGAACTCAGAGGCTATCATCTGTGGGCACATTGTGATCGGTACCCGTAGTACCATTCTGACCACCCTCTACACAGAGTAGGATTATTGGCGCCCTTCATCACTCATACTGGAGTACCCCTCCGAGCACGCCACCAGTCATCCCCCCATCGACTTCTCACCACCTGATCTCGTAGTCTACCTGACCCGACCAATCAGTAAAGTCTGGGACCTCATTCAGAATCCTCCGACATAGTTATTACACTAATGTACTCTGTACCACCCCGGGTACCATTCAAACATAACAAAATTTATTCACATTTTTCGGATTCTGGACCACTTGTCCTCACGGCTCATTCGGGTCAATAAAAATAGTATTTGGCTGATTCTGGCACCAACCCTCCGACTCAGTCTAGCCAATATATAACGTCTCAGGACTGATTCTGGGCATCAGCCCTCAGGCTCAGTCTGACCCACACACGTCACAACACACTACTTTCATTCTCTCTCTCTTTATATATATATATTTTTCTAAAATCATTTCAGAAATCATTTCGGAAACTATTTCCGAAACTATTTTCGAAATAATTTTCAAAATCATTAAATTACTATTTTGCCCTTAATCTTTTCTTAAAATTCCATGTATGTCCCTAAATGACTATTTTACCCTTGGACATTTTTGAAAATTCCTTCCATGTCCCGAAAATGACTATTTTGCCCTTGGACATTTTCAAAAAAGTCATTCCATGTCCCAAAAATGACTATTTTACCCTTGAATAATTTCAAAAATTCCATTTATGTCCCTAGGATGTAAAATGACTATTTTGCCCTTGAACATTTTCGAAAATTACATTTATGTCCCTAGGATGAAAAATGACTATTTTACCCTTGATCTTTTTAAAAAAATCCCCACCATATCTCTTTCTTCTTCCTTCGCCGAGTAACAGTGTCGAATTTTACAGATTTTGGCAGATTTCAAATTACTCAGTTTTAGACAACCAAACTAGTCCCAAATCGAAATTAAACATGAATTATATCTAATTTAAGTTGAAAACAGTAATTTTACTATATAATTCATCCTTAATTTCAAGAATTTAATCAATATTTAAAACTTTGCAAAATATGAATAGTAATCACCTCCACTACGCCATTTTCAAAATCCAGGTTTCAAATTTCTCAGTTTCAA